GGTTGGGCTCATTCAACACCTTCAACATAATGCAAGAGTGCTCTCCAGTCAACTCATTGGCCGTTTGTCTGACATAAATGGGAACGAATCCCGACTTCTTCCAGAACTTCAGCAGATCTGCGGTCAGGCCGAAGGAAACGCCCAAATAATCCAATTCTTCCGCTTTTCGCTCATTCAGTGACAGCAACAACGGCTTCAACGCCTTGCCGTCCGACTCGTTACCATCGCTGACAGCACTGACAGCGTCTTCGGTGAGATCGACGTTAAACTGACCGCAAAAGTAGTCCTCCAGAAGCCTGAGCGCGCGGCTGCCGTAACCCATGCCCTGGTAGTTGGGATTCGTGGCGATCCGTATGACTCGGGCGCCCGACAGCGACCCGAACCGCGAGTCCTGGAACTGTTGGGAGATCGTCCACGGGATCAGATCGCCGGCCGCCCGCTTCCCGCGCGACAGACTATTCATTATGGAGTTCTCGGATATCTGGCCCTCGAGGCAGACCTGTAGGAAGCACAGGACGTCCGGAATCTTGCCTTTCGAGCGTTGCTTATCGGTCATCGGCGGCAACAAACAGAATAAGTGGTGTTGTGGTGCGTCGGACATCATCTGCAGATCGTTGGGTGTGTTCTTGTAATGCGAGGACACATACAGCGCCATAATTCGCTGCAGGAATGCCTCTGACGCCGAGTGATAGCTGAACAGCGTATCTCTATTGATGTAGTAGAGGTGACAGTCGGCGGGCAGCGGACACCCCCCGGTGGGCACCGACTCGACGATCGTCGCGTCCAAACACAGCAGCCGATTGAGCCACAGCTCCACGTCGTCGCCGCTCTGGTAGCGAATCGACTCGTCGAGCGTCAACTCGTGCAACGCCCGGCCCGTGACCGCCGTTCCCGCCTTTTGGCTGAACGAGTGGCTCTGTTGGCGAAGTTGTTGCAAGAGCTTCAACGACAGTGACCTCCCGGTGCCTTCGTAGCCGTTGATCGTCGACGACATGAACACGAGGTACGGGCCGATCAGCGACTTGACGATCGGTAGCGGAATGGCGGCCGCCTCGTCGATCACCACCAGTTCCGCCGACTGCGAGAGCAGCTTATTCTTGAGCGCGTCGGTCGGGTGTATGTACTGAATGGTCTGCCGGTGCTCTCTGAACACGTTGATCC